TGGTCCAGAGCCGGCTGGTGATTCCGGGAAACCAGGGTCACCTCTGAGAACCAGTCCCTCTGGCCCTTCTGAGTCAGCAGGTGCACCTGTGTCTGGTCACCTGCGGCCACCTGTCCACTGTCCCTCGGGAAGGCAACAGGCAGGGCCTCGGGGAGCCTGGCTCCCTCGGCAATGCTGCCAGGGCTGCTGATAAGCGGCAACAGCCTTCTGTCTCCCAACATCCCTCTCTGAACACAATGTGCCTGTCCAGCTGACTCAGGACTTCGCCATGGCTGTCCGGTGGGCATCCAAACCCCAGCGCCTGATGCCCCTGCCCCCCACCAGGGCCCCACCTTCCTTTAGCCCTCCCGACCTCAGTTGGTTGCCCTGACGTCCTCCCCACTAGCTCCGGGCAGAAACCTTGCTGTTATCCTCGCCTCCTCTGTCTCTAGACTCACCTCCAGCTCATCAGCACGACAGCTCTACGGTTAGAACACAGCCAGGATCTCCATCCCTTTCCATCATGGCCACTGCTCCGCCGGGCCTCACACCCTCACCTTGGCAGGGGTCTCTTACAGAGCCTCCCAGCAGTTCTTCGGAATTCAGACCCCGCCCCATCACCCCCGTGGACCCCCTCATCCCTACACTCATTGTAACAGCTCCAGTGATCCTGCTCGAGTTACGTCACACAGTCGGCTTCTGCCTCACGGACATCTGGGCTTGGACACAGAGTCTCTGCAAGGTCATGCAAGCCTGCAGGGACCCCACTCACTGGCCCCAGACCCCACCCCACTCTGCCTTGTCTTGTTTTTCCCACTGGCTGAGCCCTGGGACTGGCTTTTCAACACCCTGCAATCTCCAACAAAACCGTCCCCAGCACCACCCTCTCACCGTGCTCAGTCAACAGAATTTATCAAATGTGATTTATTGTAATTTATTGAGACAGAATCAATCAATTTTCCCCAACTTAAAGGTTTTCAAACATGTAACAAAGCTCCTGTTGTAACATGTAATAGGCTCAGGTTAGGTGATGCTGGGTCAATAATTCCCTTCTGGGCTTTTGAAACAACTGAATACTTCTTCCACTTAGAGAATTAGTCCTTAGTGATTATGTTAGCGATTGTGTTAGATTCACTGGACCAGGAGGTAAAAAACATTGAACTACCAGGTCATGGGTGTTTTGGCTGCAACAATGATGCAAATGCGGCCAGTGATGAAATGGTGACAAACGCCAAGCCCTGGGGTGGGAGCTGCTCCTGCATTTCCTCACTTGCCCCCCAGAACAGCCTTCTTTGGAGCCCCACCAACACACTCGTTTACACATGAGCAAATGAAGGCAAACTTACTGAAGTAAAACGACTTACTCAGGGTCACCCGGCTTGTGGCTGACCTGGGAGGCCACACTCTGAATCCTGCCCTGCCGGCCCCACACCCTAATACTGATCTCCAAAGGCCTCATGAAGAAAGAGAGAAGACAGAAAACAAAATGTACCCAGGGAGAAAACTACATCAGTAAAGAGAAATACAAAAATAAAAATAAAATATCGTGCAGTCCTGCTAAGGCAACATTATTTCTCCCCTCCACATAATAATTTTAAACTACAAGGCACGAGAAACAATAATTCTGCTCATACCCAAATTCTACAACCTGGAAACCTGAAGGTGCTGATTCGTCCTTGAAGGTGATGATACACCAGCTGAGAAGCCTTAGCGGACCCAACAGTGAGAAAGCCACGAGGCCTGGCAGGTGGGTAATTCCAGTGGTTCTGCCGGCTGCCCTGAGCCCGGCTGCAAGTTCCCCTCTGATGGGAAACTGAACCCCAACCTTGCTCCTGCCCCCCATATGCACTCATGTCTGACATTATCTCCTGAACAGCCCCAGCTGGACAGCCCCCAATGTCCTAAACATGACCTCCTAAAACCAAGGGCACTAGTTCTGTGACTTTCCTGAGATCCATCGCCCCAGATACCCTGCACTGGCCAGCCTGGAGGCGGCCTGCAGCCTCTGACCCCACATCAAGACTAGTGAGGTCACTTCCCCAGTCACGTCCGTCCCACCTGGGCTGCTGCTGCTACAGTAGCCTCCCCATTTCCTCTTGCTTCTAGAACACTGTTAATCAGTGTGTTTCCGGTGTGTTCCCTCTTTTGCTTCAAAATATGACATGCACACGCTCAACTAAAGTCAGTGTGTGTGTGTGAATGATCATGTGGGTGTATCTGCCGAGAATCCCAGTACAGGAGGCAGTAGAGAAACAAATCCCTGGAAACTAGAGGAGCCTGGGGGTGGGGAGAGCCAGGCAGTGTCTCCATACCCATGCTCCAGCGCACCCATACCTTCTAGTTCATAGGATGTACAAGGAATCCTCTGGGATTTAGCACAAGTAAACAATGGAAAGGGAGCACACACCCCTACCTGCAATGCCACGTGTCACAAAAACCTAAGTGCAATCTGAGAGTCTAACAGCAGATGAATGTTTCTTTCACCAGCTGATGGACTATCAGGAAGCCACTTCAACTACCTGCCACTGATGGGCATGTGGACTACATGTCCACATGCTTAAGGAACTGCTTAAAAACAGAATGCCAAGGGGAAAGGGGGCAAATAAATTTATAACTGTATGACAGTGATGCATATGCAGAAATGTTAATGATGCTCACAGGGTGCCCGGGGCTGCTTTCCTGCCCAAGAGCTAGGGTGGCCGCTGTGGGTCCTTATTAACTTGGCTGTCTTCCACAGCGGGCTGTGCAGTCCTTGAGGGCAGAGACTGGGAGCCTTTCTCATTATTCTCAGTCTGTAGTGTGACCGAGCCATCGCAGGTGTGTGCTAAATGAGCATGGGAATCAACAGATCGGGTAATCGACCCATGAACTGCTTGATGAAAGCAACTTTATCACTCATCAGGAGCCCTGCTTGGTCCAGCCTACACACTCACACCTTCTTACCTTCCCAAGCCTTCCACTGCTCCCTCGCTGTAGCCCCCCACCCGCTACCCAGCCCCTTCACGTGGTACTTCTGCCCTTGAAAAAATCTGATAGAACCTTGAAGAGGTGAGCACAAGGTTGGGAGCACCACAGGGGCAAGATCCAGCAGGGGCTTCTTGGCCTGAGTCGTCATAGTCTTCAACCACTGTGGGACTTAGGGCACGTGGGGACGTGGGGACTAGGCTCAGGCCACAGAGACCACAGAGACGAGGCACTGACCTTTCCTGTGTTCTCTGGAGAAGCCAGTTCTCCAAGGGTCTGTTGCATGCAAGCCCCTCGTGTGGATATCTCAAGAATGAAACCTTTTAAAACAGCAGTGTTCTAAAAATAGCTCTGCGTAGACGCTGACTGCCGTCATCATTAATAAATGATTCTGCACGGAAGCCAAAGAATTAATTTGAGAGCAATTTATGATAATGTGTTGCTAGGCAATTAAAATAAACTTCTGAGGGGAAAAAATTTCAACTTAATGTTATTTTAGAATAGAAAAATGGATTAGGGAAAAGCACATCATTCAAATTAATTTTAAAAGGCAAAAGTGAGACAGATTTTTGTAGGGATGTTGCTAGGCCTGACTCTGCCTACATGTGCCCGATGCTTCTAGAAGCAGCAGAAGAGGGTTTAAAGCTCACCTCTCTGAGAGTTGAACCCTGCAGTGAGTCAGGCATCATGCCCTGCATGATGTCCTTGCAGACACATTTGGAAGAGGATCAGGTTACTTGGAGGACCCTGTGGGGAACAGGGTCAGACCCCACCACTCAGGCAGCTCTGAGGACACTGGCCTCTTCTCAGTCCCTCTGCTCCAAGAGCTGGCTGGCCCATCGGGCCCCATGTAATCTTATATGTTAGTTACTGGCCGAGGCCTTTCGCTTGTTTAAGTCTTATATCACTTTCACTAACAAACCCTCAAAGACAAAGAGCCGGGTTTCATAGCCAACGAATTACTATTCTCTTGTTTAGTTTTCACTTGGTCTCTTAGGAAAAAAAAGTGACAATAAAAGGAATTGAAAATACAAACTTAATTGCAGACTGTTCCTCCTCCTTTGTAAGCTATTCAAGAAGTACAAATTAAAGCAGCCTTAAGATAGGTACTCTTTCAAGTGTATTAAAATGTTCAAAATGTATTTAATTATTAATACCTAATGCAAATAAATTCCAGTGAAGCCACTATCCCCACTCATTTATTGCCAGTGGCATGGAACATCCATATATATTCATTCCATAAAGTGATCGTAGAGCTTATCCAGGCATCGTAATGCCTTTGCTGCTCTTAATTCACTAATCCAAATCCTGGGACTTTTTCCTCAGGAAGTAATTCAAGAGCCTCAAAAAGCTTTTTAGTACAAAGATACTCACTGTATCACTATCATAGCACAAATGGGAAACCCAAATGCTCAATAGTTGGCAAGTGATCCAAAACATTAGATTACATTGGCTCTGGAATATTATGCAGCCATTAAAAGCATCATTGTAAGGATAGGGAAACAGCTATCATGTGGGGTAGAAAGGTAGAACATGAAATTCCAGTTTAATATGATGCCAAAGATGTGAAATCCAAGTGTATGGGCAGGTTGGG